TACAGTGGAATATAAAAGGCACGATTTTGATGCGTAATAATAAGTAAAATGTTATCATGTGCGATATTTTAGAAATGAGGACATGCGTTATTAAGCATATATGGAACAAATAGGAAACTCAAAATAGCACTCGAGAAAATAATAATTCTGAACTGTGAAATAAAGGAAAGTTATTCCTCGTTTGATAAGTCATTTGCCCTCTCATTTATCACTATATTGACGTATTGACTTCAGTTTCTACGTGCAGGAATCCACGATAGTATTTTACCCGACCTGTTTAAAATAACCCACGGCCTGTTATATAACCCACGGCTTGTTATAAATCACCCACAGGAATCTCTTGTGTGTTTGCTGTCCTTAATTGTGTGAAAAAATATTATCAGGTTACTTTGAAAATTTACAAACAAAATGAAGAATTATTAAAGTATGATCATACAATAAAAATCAAATATATAGCTTATAATATCAAGGGAGGTAATGGTTGTCATGGATAGATTATCTTCCTTTAAAAATCGATAGGAAAATCATCCATAGGGGACATACTGTTACGTAATTCGCACACATTCGGATATAGCCCATTAATTACATGCATCGCAAACTCTGTCTCCATCAGATTTTTTAAACCCCCCAAAAACCCCTTGAAAACTTTTTGATCCCAAAAACCTGCTGGGGGTTTTTTTACCGGATTTTTGGGTTTTTTTAACAAATCCCCAAAATTTTTAAATGAAAGATTTCGCTTTTAAATTTAAAAAAGGTGGCTTTTATTTGTTTCAGTTTTGATAGTTTACCCTTTTGTTTGGGAAAAAGCTTAAACATCATATGAATATGGATGGTAAAAAATGAGTGCCATTCATTTTTTATATGAATTTTAATGAAAGGGATAATGATTTTAGGTTGTTTGTAGATCTCAATTTAATACTAGTTTGCATTTTATAAATAGGGTTCTTTATTATATAATTATTTAATCATTTAGCTTTTAGCCAGATAATCAGTTGTTACTTATTTACTGCATTGCTTCTGTTGACGCACACATGTCACCTCTGCACCACCGTAGTTATCTTGCTTTCTCATTTTTTAAGTAATTTAGTTAAGGAAGGATAAAAAATGAGGAGTGAATGAACGCAAGACACGTTCTTTATTAATTGCATTACGTCAACAGCAAAAATATAGATTCATTAATCATGTTTTAGAGGAAATTATGCACAAGCAAAAAATGACCAGTGAATGCTAACAGAAGAAACTCAACCGCCTTTTACAGAAAGGAAATAAAGTGGAATTTTTACAAAAAAATTTAAATTAAAGCCCAAGGGGGGATAAAAAATACGTTTTTTCCTCATGCTTTAGAAATTTTTTATTAAGAATTTTTAAAAAAAGAAGGGGGTTATTCTCACATGGGGAAAAATTTAACACCCCAGTCTCTTTTAACTCTTAAAAATTTCTTTTTGGATTTTTTAGATTTGCTGGGTTAGTTGTGTTTATGGAGGTTTTTTGGGTTCCCGGGCCAATTTAACCATTTAGGGAGGTCATAATTATGTCCACTCCCCAACGGCCCTGAGAGGGGGTAAACCCAAACCAACATAAGAATCACAAAACCCTTTGGGTTTTGGCTTTACTACATATTTTGTGATCTAAAAGGGGCTAAAATCAATTAAACCCCGGGTTTTGGGGGTTTAGACTTTTTTTCCCCCGAAAAAGCTACAAAATTTTTGGCATTGGCTAATATATAAAAAAGGTTGTGATCTGAGAAAGGGCCCGGGCCCCCTTTTTGCTCCGGGGGTTTCAAAAGGAAATTTTTCTTTTAAAAGTATTTTTTCCCCCCCTTGGCTATATTTAACATTGTGGGCTGGGGCATGTATAGATTTCGATGGACGGGAGAGGCAGTTTACCCTTTTTTTCTTACAGGGTCAAAAAACCCTGCCCAGGGGGCTGGTTAAATAAAACCAATTATCGCCCGGACCCGCCGGGCTCGAACCCTGTTTTCTCTTGTTGAGAAAAAGAAAACCTACCTTGGGGCCCTGGGGAAATGCTGATAAAAGGGGTTCATGGGCCCAAGTTATCGGGGACGGGGAAGCATAACTAATTTAAATAAAAACCCCCAAAATTTTATTTGTTAAACCCTAAAACCAAAAAAAACCGGGGAAGCTGTTAAAAATTTATGGGCGTTTTGGGTTACATTTAAGGGAAATTTTAAAGGGGAAAGGTTATTTGGGGGGAAAACAGGTAGGCGTTTTTTATTCCCGGGTCATGTTACAATTAGTGTTAGTTTTCAAAAGGGTTAGGGGTTATTTGGGGTTTTGGGCCTTGTGGGGGGGAAAAGGGAAAATGCGGGTATCTAGTCATAAAATTTCTTAAAAGACTCGGGGCACGCAAAATTTTATTCGCTAAAAAATTTGTCTCATAAATAAGGGGGCGGGGATTTGGGCCCAGTTTGAAAATTTTGAATCAAAGGGGACCAACCGCTTTTTTCCCCCAATTTTCGACATTATTTTGGAAAAGCCTAAAAAAATAAATCTGCAAAAAGTTAGTCCTTATGTTGGGGGGAAGGGTTTATAAAAGTAAAAATGACCAGTTTGAACCTTTTTTCCTGTTCTTTTAAATGCGTTTGTGAAAAAATAAACAATGTTACAGTAATAGAGAGCGAGGTGATTTGTGCAGGGTTACAGCATAGCCTAGCCAATTTTTATCCGATTTTGTTTACAGTATGTTATACCCATATGTTCAGTTACAGTTTAGACTGTGTTTTCGATATTTTCTAAGCGATATATTAAACTAGGTAAAATGTATGAATAGTTACATAGACTTTTAAATCTCTTGTGAGCTTATTGGCCCGATGGCTATTAGTCCGTCTGTCGTACACATGCTATATGCAAATTTTCATCCGCTCAGTATAGAGCAACTTGACTAAATATGATGAAATTTACATGACTTTCTACCTTAAAGTTGTTCAAATGGTTTTGGTTGTAATTGGGGATACAAAAACTCAAGCATAGATTTTTGAAAAAAGGCAATGTCTTGAAGACCCTTCTCATCTTAGAACCAATAAGCATTCAAATCAAATCATGATCATGGCGTCATTTTCGAATGCTTCTTTGTTAAAAGTTACGATTTTTTGTCATTATTAAATTAAAAGTCGTTTTTTTTTTTTATTTCAGACATTCCTGTATAAGCATTTTCATGTTTTCTGAAAAAGAAAGGTAAATATTAAAAAGTTATAGGAGTATAAAATTCAAAGGTCGGGACAATTACAATATCTTCTCTAAGTGAGCCTGATGGAGGTACATAATAGTAATAGTGGCAGGAAGTCGGGATAAGGCCGGGGGTCGACTTCAATTCATCTTTCATTTACTGCTGTAGTTTGAAATCCAATCATGACTTTGGATTCTTTGTATGTGAAGGAAGGTCTATTCAAGCTAATCTTACGGAAGGTCGGTGGTTCTAGTCAGGTGCCTGCTTTGTGTCCTGAATGTTTCAACAAAGGGTATCTGGGGGATTTCTTTAACTTTAAAACCCGGGAAAGTTTCACCCTGGGCCTAGTGTCGTTGGGAAAATTAAATCCAAAAAGCTTTAAAAGTAACAAACCCCTTTTTAAAAACTTACAAAATACTTTTTTGGTAAAATGGAAATTTTCCAAATTAAAATAAAATTTTAAAATTGCAGTATTTGCTTCACCTCAAAAACCCGTTTTAATTTATTCTTAGGGTATTGGGCCCACTTTTTAATTTTGTCTTTTGACAGCTTATCGTATGGTATGCAGGCTTCATAAACCTCCGATCCCCCTCTCAAAAAATTTCATTTTTATTTAGTTTTCACTCATTGTATTCTCGTTTAGGGCACACGCAATTTTTAACCTGGTGGTAATATGCCGCTTTTTCATAGAATGGCAATAACGTGTTCACATTGAAGGTTCCATGATAACCGACATATGAAAACACATCCACAGATGTTAAAAAATCTTAAGTGTACTAGTCATGTTTAATGTAAATTCTGTTTTTGAAAGCCCATGCTAGGAGGCGTGGATGGTAGCTTGCAGTTACCCACTACCGTCCATAAACAGGTTTAATCAAACTGAGTCTGCAACATTTTCATGTTTTCCGTGTTGGACTTCTGTTAAGGATTCTTTTTTCTTCTATTTAATTACTTATAGGCATTATATTATAATGTGTAATGAAATCAAGCAATAATCTTTCCTCTCTCAATACAATTCGATAAAAGTTACTGTTGTTGTCGTGAAAACAGTCCTTACTTAGGACATTACTTATTCTGCAAAAAAGTCTCAATCTGAAAACTTAAAGTAAGAAAATAGCACAAACTATAACTTTTCTGCTGAAAAAAAAGTAATACAACCTTTCAAGAATGTATTAAATAGAAGGTATGAGTTATTTCATTAAAATAATGGATACACAAACTTTGTTTGAAATTTGGCAAGTATCTAAACTGTAACCGAACTCTGGGTATAAACTGTAACATAATTGGATCAAAAGTCGCTAGGTCTATGCTGTAACCCTTCAAAAATTAACCTCGCTCTATACTGTAACATTGTTTATTTTTTTCAAACGCATTTTACCAACAGGAAAATAGGTTTCTACTGGTCATTTACTTTTTTATAAACTTTTCTAAACACAAAGGACTAACGTTTGTGATGTTAGATTTACTTTTATCTAGGCATGCTTAAATAATGTCGGAATGGGAGAAAAATGCGCTGGTCTCTCGATTCAAATTTTTAGACTGTCAAATCTGCACGTTTATGAGACAATATAGAGATAAATCTGCGGTGCAGGGTCTGAAGAAAATATATGACTAGATACCGGATTCTGTTCCTTACAAGCAAAGCACAAAAACATATTTTAGAAACTAAACAAATAGTAGTATGGACCTGAGTAAAAATCACCTACCTCTCTTCCTATAAATAATCCTCCATCTTGAAAATTCTATACTGTAACCCAAAAACGCGATACTGTAACACGTTCCCTACGGTGAACAACCTTAAGATTTCATTACAAATTTCTCTTCTTATTTTCTTTACATCGTAACTTAGTTTAAAGACTCTCAAGATGGAAATAATGAGATTTTATATTTGTCTAATTGTGTTAATTCTTGTTAAATTAATAAGCTCTACAAAAGCGCAGTCTCTGCGGCTAAGAATAAACCAAGAAAAAACTGTAGGGAAACTGGTAAAGTTTTTAGGAAGACTACGTGCGGAAGAAAAGGTAAACCAGTTTTATATAATACAGTAAAATGCTAATAACTAAAATGACACGAAAATAGAGATACATGTACGTGCACATTGATAAACAAATTGTATCATGTGAAAATTTGAAATTTAATTTAAGGGACGTACAAAAAGGAATTAATAATCTTGATCATTTAAACAGTTTATTTTGAAACTTGTCAAGTCAATACAAGAAGTCGAATTAAGTGTTACATATGAAATGTGCAACTGTTCATTGCCATATTTAGATGAAGAAAAAATACGTTTACTTTAATAAATAGAGGATATTCAAGTTGTTTCTTCGATAAATACAGGATTTATTTTCATTGAGTGGTATGAAAATAAATATTTCACGAGTGGCAATAGCTACGAGTGAAATATGATAACTTTCTTACCACAAGATGAAAATAAATCCAGTATTAATAGAAAAAACATGAATTTTCTGTTTATTATATACTTTTTCTCTTATATGAAGAATTCCCTTCTAATTTTGTGTATAGGCTGAAGTAAGAAGAAAGTAGTCCGGCAGGACACCGGTGAAAGTACGGAAAATATGTTTCATTGCAGTAAAAAATACTTTTTGTACTGCGAAAAAAAAAGTAAAATAAAAATACGCATTTTATTTCATCAATAGTTCATGCTACAACAGCGGGTCAAATTACCGGAAGAGCCTATATGTTTTAAATTAGAGATAAATGTCAATTCTGCTTTCTGTGGAAGATGAACTAATATGTACTAGTCATTTTTACCGTAACTAAAACGTTATATGTGAATTTGTATTTCAGATACCTTTAACTAATTTCAAGACAGTCCCTGGATCATTTAAACCATTACCTTTTCCAGTAAACTTTAGTACCTATGATCTGAATGGAGATGCAACCATTGAAATAATCGAACTTGTACGCGTGACGGGTACGGCAGAGAACGTGCATATGGCATTTAGCGCTTCTGATTTCAATGGTATGTTATTTTTCTTCATTATAGATCTATATGTCTTTTATAAAATAAGATACTTTTTAAAGTAAGAAGGGAAATCCATATTTGCTCGTGTAACAGTACTGTCACACTATAGCGTATTACACTAACGTAAATGAGCTAACCTACCGGCTCCTTTGTTAAAAGCGGTCTAGTAAATCACTTACCGACCGGTTAACAGGTCTGCAAATACATACCGACCGGTTATTGTTCTATTGTTCTCTATACAATAGAAAATATGTGAAGTCGAGAAACTCGTGCATTACAGTACACAATATTCACCGTAAAATAACGCTGAATTGTGGTGGAGGGGGGGGGGGGGATAATGCCCACTTTGAATAGGAAAAAGGGTCAATATATATTTTAAAGATTAATCGAAATAAATTAGCGCATACGACTGTAAGTACCCTCATAAATTATATTCCAGATTATTTGTGAGAAAAACGAACTGGCTACTGTTCTGGCGTTGAAGTGTTGTGTTTCGCCGATATTTAATGAGTGTAACAACGCACATTAAGCCTTTCTTTAAAGTTTGCTTTTCGGTATACCAAACACATTTGCCAAACTATATAGCTTCATAAGATACTAGTTTTCGGTATTTATTTCCACAACTTTGTCTGAATTTGCACAATCCTGCATTATTTTAACAATTCTGCATCATAGGATAAATACGACGATTATATTATTGGTGCATATCGAATCAAAGTCAACTTCTGCATCTTTCTTTCCCAAAATATTACTTGCAGTGAGAGTATAGTTCATCTTAAGTATAAGACCGTTTTTCTTATTTTTTCCCAGTTATTTTTACATTACAATTTTGATTTTGTATACCAGTACCAAGAAAACGATTGTGCTTCCATTAGATAGACCGCATGCTTAACGGATAATGCTAATTAAGAATACACGGAAAGAAAATTCTTCCAAATATGCATGGATGAAATTCTAAGAACATTTAAAATCAGCCATCATAAAAAACAAAAACAACAAAACCCAACTTACATAACGGTGTGTAACTACATGTATTACTAATATTTATTCATAGAACCCCGTCTTTTACTTTCCTTTGAAAAATCGTATATTTTAATTATATAAGAAATAGCCTGATCATCTATTTACCATGAAAATTTATTAAATATAAAGATAAAGTGTTCCGTTTTTGTTTTTATGATTAGAAAACATTTTTATCTTCCTCAGTATTTGTTTATATTATTAATATGTTATGTATTCATATATCAAAATAATGATCTTACCTTTCCCTACTCGACAAGTTCTGTTTTCATTTTCTGTTGACTCAACTCAACATGTACATTACCTAATGAAACCCCACGAAAATCACGAGAATATTCAAATAACACCTGATTTGTGAACGAATGAATTACAAGAGCGTAGCGGATGGTATCTCTTTGCTTGGCTTTGGAATGCTTTCTTAAACATGATAAAGTACATAAGTAATATGTTTCTTGTTGTGAGTAATATTAATAAATACTGAGCTAAAAACTGATGTATGGATAGAAAAAACAAAAGAGCATGTAGGTAGAGATAGTTACCGCACTCGGAATAGGTCTGCATAGTATTTACAGGCCCGGTGGCCTTTTAAAAACCTCGATCGCTACGCTCTCTCGGTCTTCAAATCGCCACCCGGGTCTGTAAATACTATGCAGACCTATTCCTCGTACGGTAACTATTACGTATTAGACACACGCTAATTAACACAGATATACGTTAGAGATACATTAAGTATACGCCGTGCACGTTTTAGACACACCGTCATACGTCAAAGTACATTCCAATACACATAGACCGAAAACAAACTGAACAATTCAAAAAATTTCAGCATACACGGCGGATGAGTTCAATCTCATTAAAATCAGATCATCGATGTCGCTCCGTTACTCTTCGCTACGAGCGTAGGGTAGTGAAGCGACAGTTAGGATATGATTTTAATGAGATTGCGGATGAATTATACGTTACGCTACCAAGGTTACGTTACCTTATAATTATAGCCCAAAACAAGGTGCATGTTAGTCTGCCGATTTTATGTGCTTTTGTCTGGCAAATCGACATCAAAACACGATCGAGTATGAAATAGCGCGTATGTTATGAATAAGCAAAAAAAAAATCAACGCCTGAATCCCACGCTAGGAGCATGTTGATACAAAAAGGAACCAATATACTTACCAAACAATAACCAACTAAACAACAACCAATGAAACAAACAACCACTATTTAACTAATCAACCAACCGGCCAACCGACCTCATCAAAACCAACCAACAAATAAACAACTATCACACAAACCATTCAACCAAGAAAACAAACACGCAAATACATGTTTGTATGTCTGCGTTGAGAGGTCGCTTGCTGAAGAAGTAGTTGGTAATAAACGAGTGACTGTCACAATTATGTTGTTATAATGCCCCAGAGAAGCCCACTATTTATCACTCATGCGAAATTCCATCCGACGGTGAAATATACTTAACTGTTTCTGTACATGTTGTAGGCCTAGTGGGAATCAAGAAGTTTTTTTTTTAATTTAGAAATATATGTGTGTCTGTACATCCCACGGTCCCACATTATTATGTGCAAGACACTTTACTCTGGTCCACGACGAATAGTTATTATATTTAGAATTTAAATTAAGATTTATTATTTCTGTTGTAGTGGGTTTCTATATTGTTTTTGAATTTGAGTTGTGTGGATGTACAGGCTTCACTAATATCTAAATTATATAACTAATTAGTTTTAAATATAGCTACATTTTAATTTTTCTTTATTCATAAGAATCGGACGTATGTATAGTCAGTTTAGCACTTAGCCGAATAAAACGTTTTAAAACATTACTCGTACACACAAATATGCAATACAAATTACATTACAATTAAAGATTTACAGAGTATGTTTTTTATTATTATTTAGAACGCGGATAAAAAAGATCACTGGCAGAAATAGCTTAATTTCGAGATTTATTGCATGAATTGTATTTTAATTGTCATAGAAATAAATAAAAAAAAACTTTCTATTTCCATCGTGTATTACCAACTAGTGGCGTTCATTATCCATCGAAGTCTAGGAAAGGAAATAAAAACAATAATTATATTACTTTGTTCTTCTCTTTTTTTCTCTAGGAGATGGGTTTGTAACTGAAGAAGAATATACACGAAAACCGTGGGGGTATGATCCAGAAGATGTCATTCTCAGTGACGACATAGAAAATTATCTTGAGAACTAAGCATCAGAGAAAAAGTAGAACACGCAATATGCACACATACGCACGCACTCACTGTAAAGGTTAAAGTGCAACATTTTAGTTTTACTGATTGAAACATCATGTGCCCGTCCGCGTGTTTTTTCGTGGGGAGGGGGTGGGTAGGCGGGTATCAAAGTAGATTAACCGACCTACCTTCGTCACGTGAATAGATTCTTCGTCATGTAAAATCATCAATAGTTTAAGTAATAGAAAGAGCATCGATTTGTAGACCTCGAGTATTAATCGAGTGTTTTGATGGTCTTTCTCTTTTATATTATAGACAAAATATTAAACCCCAGGAAAAGTAACAAATGCACGAGTATCTGAATATGACTTTTCTATCGTTATCACTTTCCCTGTGACGTCGCAATAAGTAAACCCGGGCAGCCAGTCAACGACTATGCTTTATTTTTATCGCAAATCTGACACATTTTCTGCAGAAAAGTCTCCAAACTATGATTCAATATATTTACTAATCATCTGTAAAAAACATTTTTATGTCTTCGTTAAAAGTTCCTTAATTTACCACTGATTTATTTTACTGGCAAAAAGGGGTCATTGTTTTGCTAAATAATTATTATCTAAAGCCATAAATACGGGATATTAGACACCAGGGAGCAATTTTTGTCAATAAAATATTAAATTTACGATTGTTAGTTCCTGTTTATTTGGGGATTAGTACACCGTGAACTGACTATTACTGAAGTGAGTAATAATGCCATATGAACTTTTATAACAATGTACTTTAACTTAAAGGTCAAATGTGAACTATAGATTCGTAAAGGAATATTTAGAGAAATAGTTCTTTTCCCTTCAATCAAGGAAAGCAGAACGTTACATTGCTCACACTTTGGCCCATCAAATATAGTTTAATCATTACTTAAACTCAGCTGTGAATAAAGATTAAGTATGGCATCTGACCTCAATCCAGGAACAAACCACTATGGGTTTATATGAAACACATAAAACTGGTCTTACCCCAGTAAGGCTCGAAACCCACAAAACCTGGGGTTTGGGTATTTAACCCCAAACGGGCACCATCCAAAACCCCTGAAAACCAAAAGTATGTATCAGACATGTACAGCTTTAATTTAAAGACAAGAGTCCTTTAAACATGAATGAGGAAGTACCGATCCTGGAGGTCTGAAAAAAATGTTCCGGATGTCTTACTTAAAAATAAACAAACGTGTATTTTGAATGATTAGATGTGGTTTACGCCTTTATACAATGTAGTCCGTTATTAGAATATACGCAGACATGTTAATGAAGTCATTATTCTTTTTTTAAAAGGTGTTATGTAGGAATGCATGTACTTCTGGAATGCTCCACGTATTTTTGTTGGATTTAAAGTCACAATTTTAAAGTCACACTGACACTATGAAGATCATTTGAGCCGCGTCACGACAAAACCAACATAATGGGTTTGCGACCAGCATGAATCCAGACCAGACTGCGCGGATACCAGCCTGCGCATCCGCGCAGTCTGATCAGGATCCATGCTGTTCGCTTACCAACTCTATTACAAGTAAAGAAACTGATAGCGGACAGCATGGACCCTGATCAGATGAGCAGGCTGGTCTGGATCCATGCTGGTCGCAAACGCACTATGTTGGTTTTGTCGTGACGCGGCTCATTTGATGATTTTCCAGCTTTATTGGTAGAGTAGGCTTTCAGGTGGTCCTCCGTACATTTCAGACAGAAGTGGGTACCTTAGTATAGAACCACCGGCCTTCCATAAGCTAGATGGATACATCTTCACATGAAACAATCCACGAAAGTCCCCGGCGGAATACGAGCCGACATCGGTGAGGGGTAAGTGATTTGAAGTCAACCAATCGGCTACGGAACCCTCTCTCATACCTATCATGCACTTACTAGATAAGAATATGTTTGAAACGACTATATATCTTTTGATAAGAATGTCAATATATAGCAAGAATATCCTGCATGATATTATTAAAATTTGCATAAAACATACAATAGTTTTAACGTTTTAGTAAGCAGAAATGGACCTTTTTATAAAATAGCGGCTAGCAACTGCTGGAGATGCAAGATCGGAGTCGTCTTGTAAGCTCAATAGATAGAGCGTTGGGCGGTGAATTGGGCGACCCGGTTCCGATTCCCGGATGGTGCAGGTCACTTTAATTTTACTTCTACGGTCATTCGAATTGTGCCTCTGCTCTTGCATGTATAGAAGGTATCAGTTCCTTGCGAAAGTGAAGGCAACTAGTACATGTTATGGTAAACTGCTTGACAGCCTGCCCAGGAACGATGAATCAAATTCATTAAAACCAGACGAGTGAATATCAGACTTGAAGTAAACTCGGATTCATTCTAGATGTCTGTATGCAGCAGGCGTCCAACTCAGATTTGGCTTTCGGATAGATATTTATCTTTAACAAGAGTTAAATCAGGACGATACTCAAAACTTATTGAACCAGCGAGTTTTGGAAATAGGTAAAAAGTTCGAGTAGGAAGTGGCATACTGGTCATAATAAAAACTCACTGAGGAATAAGTGGTAAGAAGTTACAAAGCGACTATCACACTGACGAATACTGACATGTTGGAAGGATGTTTTGATATTTTGAAAGGAAATACAGATATATACACATTATTTAAATAAATAAGGGTTGGAAGTGAAAGTGCGATTAATATAAAGGAAATCATACGATTTTACGAAATTGTAAACACAAATATTTCTAATTGACTAAGGATGGAAGAGACTTTTCTACCACTAAGGGACCTTTCGGTAATATGGGATTGATTGAACCATGCGCAACAGTGATATAGGAAAAAAGTATGAAGAACAAAAATGCATTCATATCAATTAAATAGCATTACATACATGTAATTTCTATCACAGAATTACGAAATCGTTACAAGTACAGATCATCCAAGCTTGCTTTAAACTATAGTTATGTAATTAGTAATTACTGGTTAGTTGTCCAGGAAAGATGGATCAACCGCCGAGATGTGAACGAAACATGAGTTAAAGTGTATAAAAACAAAGAAAATCAAAGGGCTGCAACCTCTGTGGTATTTTCTGATCTTTGCAATCTAAATCATACTGACTATCTGTATGTATTTTCCTGTATAAGTTTATTTTTATATACTATAATTAATATTACGCAGCGATTGCGTCTATAACAGTTTGAGATTGATACATATGGAATTTTGCATGACGAGTTGCATCAAAAAATCATTTTTCATTTTTTATGACAGCCACACTTTATCCTTCCATATCGTGGCTACTTCCTTAAAAAAGACACTTAAAAAAAAAGTTGCCTTGACTAGGATTTGAACCTTAGGCCTCTCACACCTCTGCACCACGGTGAAGTAATACATATGTAGGTTGAATAAAAACAAATACATTGTAATTCTCATTTGAGAATTTCCATTTCGTGTTTGTAATTTTTACTAATTTCGAGATATTTTGTTCACGATAAACCTGTTGTTTAACACTGATGAAAATAATTTAGCGAAAATCTTCTCGACAAAACAGTACGACGTGTATATATTCCACCACTCGACAGTCAGATTTATTTGTGTACTACGGTAATCGACATAGCTAAAAATAGCATTTTCATTGATTAAGCTTTACGGAAATAGCCGAACATTTTTCATTGGGTAAAAAAGATATTCATCCGCGAAATTTGTGATTGTAAACTCATATTTCTATTGACTACTCTAAACTTTTAATGCACTGTAATTCGTTAAATGCCTACATTAAAAATTATTATTTCTTTTAAATTGCTGGTTTTTAAGCAGTTCTGAGTGAGAACTACTTTGCGTTGTTAGGTCTGTTAGGAAATTTTGTGTTAGACCGTGGATGTTAGCTTTGTATTTACTGATCATGCGATCAGAAAATACAAAAACCGCAACAAGTACAACGGAAAAGGGAGAAAATGCTAAAGAGATGTGTATACTATAAGGTAAAGAGTGCCATGTGTTAAAGTGGCAATATGCCTGTAAATGGTTAGTGGGCAAAAAAAATCAAATTACTACATTTTACTATGCATTTTTTTATAGATTTTTTTTTAAAGTCATCCTTCGGAAAATAACCAATCATTACTCAGGTGACTTGAGGAAATTTATATAAATACCCTTTGTAATCTCAATTAATCTATTAGTACTCTTCACTTGATTTAAAAAATGTAAATTTACCGCGGATTTCATCAAATTAATTTCTTAATCGTCGTTGCAGACAGATAGTCTGTATCTTTAAAAAATAAATTAGATATTTGAATTAAACAAGCATTTTTTTAAAAAAAAATAAACTTTAAATTTCAAAAATCGGATAATAAATGAAAAAAGCTATATGGTATTTTGTAAAATAGGTATCCGTTGCGAACGGGCATTTTTTGCTTAGCGCCGATAAATTATCGATCGATGTACCTTTATCGGGTGCACGACAAGATATTTAATCATTTATATAGGGTTAATTGGGAGTGTCCGATCCCTGTAATATAAATCCGTGATTTAAAGAGTAAGGTAGTTTTCTTATATTTGAGGCAGTTTATTATATTTTATTATAAACATTTTTCAGGATTAATTAAGTTTAAATCAATCACCAAAATAATAGTATTTTTTTTAAAAACTATATAGCTATTTCAACTCATTTTGACAACGGGAAAAATTGAGAGAAAACAATCATTGCAGATGAACTTGTTTATGTATACAAAACTTACATAATTTTTCCGGAATATTACCTACCTTGACCGAAAATTGCGTCACGGGGGTATTATTATTTATATCGTTATATATTCCAGCATTTTTTCAATTTGTCATAATTATCTTACATATGTATAAATTTTTTCTATTTACTTCTTTACTTGTTATCATTTTTCCCTATCCTTTAATGCAACACTTGATGTCATACCATAATTTCGTTTAACTTGTAACTTCTGTACGGGCCTCATTACCTTCAGTTACCCGCGTGCGCATTTGTTATACACTTTGAACAATGCATTGCACCATGAAGTTATTTATTGATGAATTTTAATAATTTAATCTGTTTCGCGCGATTAAATACCGAAACAGCCCCTAAGATGGTGACTTTTGGACAACGTTATAGCTAGTCAATTGAACGTCAATTGACCAAGACTATTTAGGGAGATAAATGACAGAGATCCTGCTCTATCAATTGCTATGGCTTTTTTGAACTTACTTTGAAGTCATACTTAACCCGCCACTTGAAGGCGCTAGTCACCGGAAGTAGTGATTCAGAAATAGCGTCAGAAAGTCGTAAGATGTTAAGGTTTCTTGGAATTAGTTTAACTGTATGAATACGGATAACATTATATAAACAACACATGGGTTTGTGGGTAACAGTAAAAATATCATCCCGAGGAAAATACGTAAGTATTTTACGAGGGATGATATTTTTACTGTTACTCACAAACCCATGTGTTATTTATTTTATTACCCCGAACAAAAATACTGCGATGATCTGAAATTGTCAACTAAATCTAACTGTAACAAAAATAAACCAAGAGTAACAATAACTAAATTGTCCTTACCTTTTAAGTTTTAAGTGTACTTTAGGCCTACTTGAGAAGTTTTCATTTTCTTTTATTCTTTATGCAAGTGATGATATCTACAAATCATAAATATACAATAAGCTAGGTTTAACCGTTTTATTTAGAAAACAAAACACTAACTCATTTACACGGTTATGATCTGTGAAATCTGATCCTTCTGTTTCCAGAATATTCTTAGCATGGTTTTTGACAAAATAACGATGATACAGTATCCTATGTCTGTCCACCATCTCTGTAACGTTTCACTGATTAAAATTGTTAAATAATCATTTGTTGCATGCTTAAATCGTCTGCATATTCCAGTTTAACACATAATTATTTACTTTGCAAGTACTTCCATTGAAAACGGATGTTCACTTTTTGACTATTCAACAAAAAGCTATTTTATACACGAAAAGCACACCAGGGTGCGAACTACTAAATTTTATGAGTGTCATAGATACTCCAGAGAAGAAATTGATGTCCTATCGGGGTTTAACGTCGAAAATAAGAATGAATCGAGAGAAAAAATGGCGGCCATTTTATTTCATTTTATTTAGAAAATAGACCACGTGACCAGATTTTATACTGTTACCTATGTAACAGTACAAAATTCTTGGTCACGTGGTACACTTGCATTAACAGTAAAAATAACTCCCAGATGCCTATGGGAAATTAGCATTACGAAAAAAGTGAGGGGTAATAATACAAACTTACAAATGTACAAAGACCATCAATGTAAAATTGACTGAATAACTGTGTACGGCGATAACAAGGTTTTACCGAGTTTTTGCATAACAGTTCCCCCAAATAGCCGGTTATTCCTGTATTTAACGGCAACCACTGTGTGATTTTTTTTCTTATCACATTGGGTGTACAATTATATTTTCCATCAATGCTTCAAAATGTCATTTTCAATCATCTACACAACTAAGTCTGGAAAAAACACACGAAAAGACAGGACTATACTTTTTTATTTTGACCATTTGTTGTTTTCAATAGGTAAATTTTAAACATGTAATTCATTTATAAAAGGCATAGGAATGGCGTCATTCTAAACCACGCAACCAGCTTATATGAACTTTGTTTCATGAAATGTTCTAGCACCAGTGAAGACTCTAGAAAAGTAGAAAGAAGTTCCGATAAAATAGGCTTCGTTACCGTTATAACATCTTTTTGAGGCCCCTACTGGGTTTTCCTGTTTATTTCCATCGTAATTAGTATAAGTAAGTAAGTAAGTAACGACTTTATTTAATGAGGCAACACAGTTGGTCAAGCCCAGTCTTCCCTGTGGGCCTCAACAATATACAAAACAATTTACAAAATATAATACATCAATAAAAGATGGATCGTGGAAAGGAATTCAATCCTTATAGAAATTAATCAATCGTATATGAATAGAAAATGCCATTGAATCACATTACATATTAAATTAACACATATACACGTTATTCGTTTGATAAATATTTGATTGAAACACCATTCTTGTCTAATCCATATATTGATAGAAACCAATTTTGTCCATATAATGATAAAAACAAGACAAGAAGTTCTAACCTAAATACTAAGTAAAATAACGTGGTAAAAACCGCCCAGTCAAAGATAATGTCATCTCATTCGTTGTTCTACAAGTGGATAACCATGCTCTTTAATTACGTGAATAACGTGCATTTTCAAATCTTTTGATCTCGCTGAAATGATCGTAATAATTTATATATACGTATATTTTTTCTTACATCGCTGGAATCGCCCGGCTACATTAAAGGTCTTTTTAACCATACGATATTTCCATTTTATTGATAATATCATTATACTAATAAACCAATGTTAGATCTCAATGCTCTAAGGCAGACGACAAATTAAAGAATCCCCAATTTCCTTCATTAAGACATTGCCATTTAGTCTCGATTTGAAGCGACGATAATGACACCTTGCAATTTGGTTAGACTATAATATTGGCTTCCTAATTAAACCATTACCTTACTTTTGAATTACTTTAAAATTGAATCATCTATTTCAAATAGAAAGAAAGAATGACGAGAATAAAAACTGGCATCACTTAGACACACGACTGGCATCACTAAGGCATCTCAAGGTCTGGCAGTTGAGATGTCTTGCCTTTTGCTTAGACTAAAATGAGTGACAAAATTTTGTCAACAGACCGTAAAGTATGTAATTATTTATACATTGTAAACAAGTTTAATAGTGGTTGAATATCAAAAATGAAAAGGTTTACATCAAATCTATATCAAGAATAATTGGTTTCTTGTAAATTTCTATATTTATTAGATATAATCAGATTTCATCCTCTGATTCGTGACTGAATACATATTAATGTAAATAATCATCTCACTTATATTTGAAAAAATAATCAGTTCATCTGAAACAAGGGGAAATGACAAAAGTCACTAAAAGATATGAAAAGCATGCACTAGCACGTTACAATAAATCAGGGGATTTTGCTATAGCTTTTATTTTAGATAGAGAACTCATTAGTATCGTGATCAGAATTAATAATGACCATACATTCTATGATTAAAGATTTGTACTACTTCGTAATTTCAAATAAATAAAAATAAACACCTTTAAATATGCTAAATTATGATCTTTGATAAATATATATGGTATAAACTTAATGCTTTTAAATTATTATTTTACATGAGAGTTCTAAGCTGATTGCACGCGAACATATCTATAATTCTTACAATGAAGAATTAAATAAAATATAGACTGGATTTATTTTTAATATATGATTGCAAAAGAACATGCACATCTTTTCAAGTTTGATAGCGTCACCTTAGTGCAATAACTGGTTAACTTCTATTAAATTTAGTAGCACTGGACCCGTTACTGCATTAAGGTGACAATATCTGCTTGATAAGACTATATGAGCCGCGTCATGACAAAACCAACATAGTGTGTTTGCGACCAGCATGGATCCACCCAGCCTGCGCATCCGCGCAGTCTGATCAGGATTCATGCTGTTCGCTCACAAACCCAATAACAAGTAGAGAAACTGATAGCGAACAGCATGGATCCTGATCAGACTGCGCGGATGCGCAGGCTGGTCTGGATCCATGCTGGTCGCAAACCCATTATGTTGGTTTTGTCGTGACGCGGCTCAAATAGAAAACAAGTTTTTGATGGGAAGAAGAGCTGGAAGAATTTATAAAGGGCATAGTCCTTCCTTGCTTGCTTGACAAGCTTAGATTTAAGTATACAGCAAAAGCCAGTCTTATATATGAGCCGTTCTCCAGGAAAACCTGCCAAAATGACATCGATTATGACGTTGGGAATTTCCCGATAAATATGACGTCATACTTGAAAGCATATGTGAGTTCAGTGACCTTTATGTATCAGTGTTTACATGATAAATTTTGACATTTTCTGGATATTAAAATGGATAACGATAGAGAGGTATGTTGTATTTATATATCTTTTCAACTCTGAACTAGGTATGCCGCACATTAATTGTTCAATTGTTCCCATATAGATGTATTTTGCGCAAGAGTGAATCAGGAAAATATGGCGCGTAAACAAAATAATATAGCGTGATTGTTGTAACTTATACAGAGCAACACAGTAATAAACATGCAAAGAGTCGGTTGATTTTGCTCTCATACATTTCTTGACATACTCGTTAAGATTGTTTGTCAGATAAAATTAATGTATTCGCTAAATTTGGAAGACTCTTCTGAGTACCCCACCACCACCAGAATGACATCGAATCAATATTTCAAAAATTAATTTATGACTGTCACTCAGTAGATCTGGATCTCTATTATTTTTTTAATAATGTCAATACATTTCAACGAAGATAAGTTTTATTTAAATTTCAGAAAATTTAGTTGGTTTTGTTTCGGAATGGGTATGCTATTGATCTAAATCTGAACGATTAAGGTTAAATCACTTAATTTATATTGGACTGAATACGAATTCTGTGATGGCCGAGGGGTTAGTGTCAATAACTAGGAATCAGTGTTTTGCTGGTTCGATCCTGATGCGCGAACTTTTTTTTTTTTTTTTTTTAACAATCATATTTTATAAAGTGCTATGTAGAATTCTGTGTCAAATTAATTTTTTTTATCAAGCAAATTAACCTTTAATTGAAATAAAATGCAGTCTGTGTATGATTTTTTGTGGACAAGCATTTGTATATTAAAGGAAAATTTGTATTGTGCAGTGACTAAAATATTTTTATTTTATATTAGCCCATTAATTAGCGCAGAAGCTGTATGTTTTGTCATTATTGTCAGTACTCACCGGAATTATTTATCTTACAGGATTTGGAGAGTTTGCTTTCCGAGCATTTTGGTGTGACGCCCGTTTCGACACCCTGGGGATCGCAGGAGGAGGTTGATGTATCTACCCTGTGTTTAGACTCGGACGAAGATGATCCCGAGTTAGATGTTGATCAGCGGGTCCAAGACTACATAGACACGCTTCCAGATGACACAACAGGGGCTTCTGTTACTAGTGACAGTGAGGGTGAAGCAGAAGTTGATTGTGATCTGCCCCAAAATGACGAAGACGTGAACATAATTACCCTTTATCATAAGAATGGTTGTGGGTGCAAGAAAAACTGCATTAAACAGTTTACTGTTTCTGACATTTTTGATCACATATTGAATATTAGGGAAATGGAAAAGCAAGATAAAGAACTGTATATAATGGCAACTGTAGTAAACAGCCCTCAGAATGAATTGACAAAGCGCGGGAAGAAACGTCAGAAAGGTCACCATGACTTTCCATTAGTGGGGAAACCAGTGTGTAGGGACTGTGTTTATGTTGGCCTTGATATCAAGCGGAGCGCTCTTCAAAATATCCTAACACATGTTGATTCAGGCATGGTGTGGTTCAAAGGGAAAAAACCTGTCAAATCTTTAAAGTTTTTTGAAGATATTAAACATGCGGTGACATATGTTTCCCAAACTGCTGAAGACATTAGGTATACCACAACCGGCTCTGCACCACGTGGATCAGACAACATACCACCAGTTTACTTTACCAAGTGCTACTACAAAACTTGATATTCACAAGAAAATACGAGACATCGTGCCTTGAATCTTACCAACAAAAAGGGCTGTTCATTTTAAAACTTTCTGCAACATCTGGAAGCAATGTTGACCACACATCAAAATTGCATCTCCACGCGACGACGTTTGTGCAACTTGTGAAAAATTAAGAAAAGTTGTGATGGATTCCAGAACCGAGGATGAAAAATTGCAGGGCACCGCCAATCTTAGAGAGCACATTGTCAACGCACAAAAAGAAAGAGAAGTATACAACAAATGCATTACATATGCTAAAGGTCTGTTTGAGACTGGGGACACGTGTGATAAAATACATTGTTATGACCTTATTACACTATTAAAATGATATATCAATCGTTGTGGACATACTCTTCTTCGATGGGATTTTTGTATAGAAAAAACAAAAAGACCTATAAACAGTCCATCGCCTTTTCATATTGCACAGATGTGCAGATCTACTTTGCATTACATTGATGGCATGTGTTAAATTTTGATTACAGCAGTATCAAGGTTCAACTGTAACAAATGTTTTAAAATTGCAAAATCATCAAATCCAAATACTTAATCGGAATTAAAAGACTTATGCATGTGAAATAACTATAACCATTGCGAAAGTTCATGTATTTATTTAAATTGGTTCAATATATAAACGTGATCTAAGAGTACAATTTAAATACTTAATGGTTTGTTAATGTCATTGAATATCAGATAATTACAAAATGTAATCAAAAATTGATATATTTTATGAATGTGATAGCAAATTATTTTAACCGAAACGGTACCCTTCTTTTAAAATCTGAAATAAATAAAAAAAATTTTCATTTTGTTGGCTCCCACTTCCCAAAAAAGATATACAAAACAAAAACTGACACCTAGATTTTTTTAAAAAAATTTTGCGCTGCGTGAAGAAAACCCCCTAAGAAAAAAGTCCGAAAAGGGGGAAAAAATTACCCTGCCATTTCCCAATAACGATTTTGATTTTCGTTTTTTAAACTTCATACTTTTCCCCTAATCTTGAGTAACTGCAAATTTTTGGGAAAAATTTTTCGAAAAATTACCAGATCTTTTTAAGCACATTTAAATAATATTTTACTGTATTTTTCAAATGTCGAAAAAAACAGATAAATCCTTAAAATTACCTTTTTTACCCAAAAAAAATGAATTTCTAAACAAGAATTTTTTCGTAGTTAGTTGATTTTTTATAACCCGATTAAACCAATGCGCAAAATTTAAATTTACTTTCTGTAACAATCTGCTGGTATCTATATATACCTTGTTCCTTGTTTCTCTTCAAGTTTTTTTTCCATTTTCTGAAGCAAAATGGACCGATTGTCTCCATGAAGACGTCGATAGAAAAATCGTAATCATATAAGGTAGTTATGCTGTATTCTTCCCAAATAATACTAATTTGCATAATGATGACGCATGCTTTTAATCATTTTAAAAAAGATCAAATAAACAGTCATTTTTGTACATTTCTTGTGTGATAACACAGTGTATTTCGTGAGCAATTACTAATTAGGTGCTGATAAAAAAAACAAGCAGTCATCTGTTCCTAAAACTGTTTGTTACCTTGAAATACGAGTAAAA